CCCTTTCTCCTCAGCTTGATCTTTAGAGATGCCATTCAGGCACGGTCCATTGCAAACGCACTAGCAGGCCACACCTCGGCAGCACCCAGGCATCCATACAGGCCCGAATACCCTCTCGGCGTACAGCCATGACACAGAAGCAAAGGCCCCCTCCCTCAGTCAGCTAAAGAAGCCAGTGCGACAAACTCGTTTGACGACTTCCTGTCAAGACCCCTGTTTGCCCTACCTCACTGCTCTCAGATGTTCTTGCACGGGATGGACCAGCCGTACTCGCCGTGTTGCTGGCCGCCACATCGCCACAGGGAACAGCAGCCATCGTTGCCACGGCCTCCATCACACCAGCATCACCAGTCTGACTGTCGGTCACCTGTCCCTCCTGCGCTTCCCCCGCCATGCTGCCTTGCTCAACTTCTTCCACCATACCAGGATCACCTTCGCGTTCAGCATTCACATTTTCGTGCCCTCCACCTTGAGCGCAATCTTCAGCAGCGGTGGTGTCAAAGACTCCATTGTCCCAATCACGTTGACTGTAGAACCTTCCAAGCACTGCATAGCCAAACTGTTGTCCGACGCATCTGTCCGTCACCTTCCCATCTTTCCAGAGGCCATAGAACCGCCGCCCATTTCCAGAGTCCATGAACTTCCCCACCTCGCCGATGTCAATCTTGGAATTGTCCTCAGCATCCCTGGAGTTGCGCTCATCATCCCAGATGTCTGGGGCCGCCGTTCCAGAGATCGGAAGGGTATCAGCGACATTGCCACGATGAGCTTCTAGAGTTCGCAGCTCATGCTCTTCCTCCAAGCACTCCAAGTCACCTGCTAACACCGGTTCTGCAGGCGCAGCAGGCTCTCCAGACGAAGCTGCCGTGGGGTCCTGCTGGTCATCATCTTGCTCCCCATCACTCTGGACAATGTTGATGCTGTAGGCGAGCCTTTCCCCCTCCCTGAGCCCAAAGAGCCAATTTTCTCTTTTCACAATCCGACCTCCCTCTCCCTGCACCAAGACTTGTACTCGTGCTCTCTTCCTTGGTCCCTGCAGGAAGTTTCCCTGCTTCGCTGCCCATGCTTCCCACGACGCAAGGTCTGCTGCATGGAAGTCATCCCAGATTTGTTGTTCCTCCTGTCTGAGCGCTTGCGCGGCCATCTCTTCCATCACCTCGTTCTCAATCATCTCTTCTTTTCCTCCTCTGTCAGGTCCCTCTGTGTGCCATTTTCCAGCTGAACCATTTGCCGCTTGCTCCCATCCTCCATCACTGGTTCCTGGCTGTCCACCACTACTATTTCCTGGTCCGTGGCATTGCTGGGCCGAGGTCGCTCTTCAACTTTCACTCCCCTCGGCAGCGCTACGTCCTCCAGGAAAGGTCGTATGTGCTGCCACATGTCTAGGCACCACTGGGTTTCATCTCCTCGAAGATCAGGAGGGTCACTCTCGAACGCTGCTACCAGCGCGCTCAGCCTCTCGAACCTCTCCACGAGGAGCGGGTTTCGTAGATGTGGTGCATGTCTTCGCTGGATCATCAATTTGTCTGAGGAACCCGCTGAGCCTGGCAGCTTTTGGCCCGGTCATCTCATCCATAGCCTTCAGAAGATTTTGCAGCACCTGCTCGTAGTCCTGCAGCGGGCTCTTCTGCATGAGGACCACATCATCGCCCGTGTTTTCCTGCTGGTCCTCGTCCATGATGTCATTCTGGGTGACCCCAACAGTGTCGGAGTCCTCGCCCTCCTCATTGCCCACCGGCTCGACGTAGCCCACTCGCCCCTGCTCACCCTCGTTGTGACCTTTTCCGTCTTCATTCCCTGGCTTGTGGCCACCCTCCACTGCTTTCTGGGTATCCAAGGCATGAGGGTTTTAGGTTTAGGGTGCCAGGCTTTGGGTTTTGGGTTTTAGACTTATGGGTAAGCTCAAAGCCATGGGCCACAAGTATGGAGCCCGGAATGGGTCATAGATATGGGCCCTTAGTTGGGTCTGTAGCGATTTATAGGGTATACAATAGGTATATCAGGACCCTAGGATTCAGGGCCCATAATTCAATCATTAGGTTTGCACTGGGATGTAGGGTTTAGCTTAGGTCTGGGGCTTAGGGTTTAGGGCCTCGGCCTGCGCGCCCAAACGCTGGGTCTAACAATTGCAAAGACGCAGGTTCCCACTTGCTTTCTCAGCACCCAATCTGTATGGCCTAGCGGGTCTCCAAAACGCGAGAACCTACCTCAAACATCTAACCTTGAAGTACTTGGACCCTTAGGTGGAGTTCGGGGGTTGGGGCAGGGTCTAGTAGGGTATACCATATGTGTTCTGATTTCTGCTTTTGTACGGATTATGTAAGTGGAGGTATGTTGGGATCATACGGTATGCGAAATACGTAGGTGATGATTCAGGCCTACAGGCAGGCAAGAGAAAACACGAGGTCACTAGGCTGAGGAGCTTGATCCTTCGACGGCATAGAGGAATGAGTATGTTAAGACTTTGTAGAACTATACGAGGGAAGCGTGAGACGTCATGGGAGTTCGCAAAATCCGTCTGCCCTGAGGGCAAGATCTTCAGCAAAACGACTTTTTCAAACCCTGACGTCAGCAGCTTTCACCAATAAGCCTGCTTCTCCACAGCCCACTGCGCAGCCAACCAGTTTCGGAAGCCTGCATCTCTAAACATCAGGTGATAAAGGCCCGGTGAAGCGTTCCAACCCGGCTTGGCCTCCAAAACATTTTCCTCTTGGCCACCTTCGCTCAGCCCAAGGAGCTGCGGCAGCATCAGGTGTTTGTCCCAAAGACAAGAGCAAGACCTACTGATATTCGCAGCAGATGCTCCCTCACCTGAAGAGCCACACGATTCAGCAAGGTTAAATAGTCGTGGATCCGGCCGCAAGCATAAGCCGCAAAGTGCTTGCATGTGCTGTGTCCCTCCAATCAGGGTTCGGAGCCTTGAACTTAACTCCTGACACCCTGGACTCGAACCCAAACCCAAAGAGCCTGACCCAGACCTCACTGTCGAAGCACGACATCAACAAAGGGATCGAAAGGCCCAGCTACCAAGAGATCTCACACTGACACTTGCGTTCTAACCCATCCCGAATACCTTCTACTTGGCGCCTTGCGGGGAGTAACAGAAGCACATGACCTCGGAGCCTACGCTCAAGTCCAAGAACTCTACGCGCTGGAACCTCAGCACCCTAACCCAGATTCGCTAAATCCCTAGACTCTAATGGCTCAGTGCTACACCTCACTCCCCAAGCCCAACCCATATTCTCATTATCGGCCAAGTTACAGTGCAGGGTTGTTCCGATCATCCAGTTGACGCCGGGAGGCCTGCAAGAAAGGGCTTCTTATGGCGGAGGGTGTCTGTGACCTCGATTTACCTACACCTATACAAGCGTTATCACCAATAAGTGCAGGCTTGGGCCTGCTAATCTACAGGAATAAACCCAAAGCCCTAAGCTTCAGCCTTCAACCGGAGTCCGCAGTCAAAGGTTCAATTAGAAGAATATAGTGATTATAGTAGTTTCCATTTTCTTTTCCATTACCCCTAAGTAACCCCAATATACTATGTAGTAGCTTCCATTTTCCATTATCCCTATTATGGCGGTGCTAACCCAAGGGCTCCCCCAAGCATGGGTCAGAATTCCGGCATGTGCTTCCTTTTATCATTTGGGTAGTTGTCAAAATTATGGTCCCTTTTTGGGTGCCAAAAATTTTAGGTGCCGTATTATAATAGGGATCCAAAAAGGGACCATAATTTTGACAACAACCCATTTGCTATCCAGGGACATCAGGGTTGGTCGAAATTATGATCTTTTTTGGGTACTCAGTCATAATACGGCCTTCATGTAAACCCTAAACCCTAAACCGCGAGCGCCCGATGGAGACCGTGATTTTGACAACCTCCCATAGGAGGGGCTCGAGGTATGGGAAAACTGCGAGAGAAGGCATTGCCCTGAGTGTCCAGATATCCAATTTTAAGGCTTTAGGTACCTAAAAACCATACAGTAATTACACAATTTTGAGGCTTTAGGTACCTAAAAAACATAATTACAGATGACAGCATTTGGGACCTAAAGCCCCTGTGCTTATGTGATTGGACCCTTAGGGGAATAGAATGATCCTCCAAGCTGGGATTCAGGCCTGAGGATGTAAAGTTGCAATCTCATACGTGCTAGGAAAGTTCATGGGAATTGTGTGAACGGTTTTTTTAGCATAAGGCAACTATACCCAACTACTTCTCCATGGTTCCTTCTGGCGTTGTATTCAGCACAGCACAACTCCAAGAAGCGGTTCCCAACAGATCAACACCGTTTGCTGCTGTGTGAGGTGTTTACTGAAGTCATAGCGCAAAACGGCGAACAGAATTTTTCCGAGGCTCCTACATAATCGTGGGTCCATGTGGCTTTCGGTTTGATTATCCAATTGATTCCACAGTTCTCCACTAATCTATACTTATTTAAGCTTAAACCTATGTCATACCCGAAAGGCCCGAACCCAAATCCTGTATGACCCATATGCGCAGCATGGAGGGAACCCCCGACCCCAAAGCAAAATGTTAATCCCTGATTGCCTGGACTGTCCGCTGTAGCTCCTCAAACTCCATACCGCGAACCCCCATGTACACAACTTCACCCCTCAATCAACCACTCAACCCAACATCCTATGCGCGACTTTTCCACAGTCACCATCAACCATAAAACGCACCCTAGTTAATCCCCCAAACACACCATATAGACCTACTTTCCACGTCATCTTCCATTGATAATTGTGGGTACCATCTCCCCCCGCCACACCCTACACCCTAAAGCCTAAATCCTAACAACTAAGCCACATCTTCCCGTACTCTCTCATGGAGCTACCTGGCCTGCACATGGCTCCAAACATCCTCTGGCAGAGGAACGCGGCTATGTGGCCTGGATAGCAAGGGACCTTTGTAGAACCCCTGATTCGGGTTAAGGGTGTGGGGTGTGTACAGCCCCTGATTGACGATTATCCGCACTTAATAGCCCACCACAAACCACTACATGTTCCAAGTGCCCATTTAAGTTTCCATGTTCTCTTCCATTTGATTCTCATTCTTGGTCTAGGTATTACATATCCCTATAAGTGCAGGAGCAGACTTGAAAGCGTTTGGTCTACAAGACATGAAAAAGCTGTTTGCAGAAGCCCTCCAGAGCCTACCTGAACCCCCAAAGTATGTAGAATAATGGCCTTTTGGGCTACATTTAGGGGTTTTGGGCTATTATTTTACTACTTTTGGGGGTTTAGGTAGATGCAAGGTGTAGCGCAGAAGCATCAAGAAGACTTTGCAAAATGTCTTCTCTTCTTTGTGCAACCTTTAGTAGTGTCTAATCTGTAGCAGAGTTACCTACCCCTTAGGAAGACCGAGGTCAACTGTTGAGTTGCCTGAATTCTGGAAGATTTGCAGGGCAGATATGTAGGGTTCAGGAATTGGGGTCCAGTTTTCGGGTTCAGGGTGTTAAGGGTTGAGGCTGGATAGGAAGCTGGCACTGCCATACTATGTCATTGGGAATCCTGATCGGCTGCGGAACATAATCTCGTTAAGGGATTGAGCCATCTTTGGGTTTCGACTTTTCCTGGTATATACCCTTCATTGGGCTTATAGGGCCCCTAATACTGGGTACTTAAGCCTAAATAGAGTAGTTCAAGTTGAAAGGTCTAAGCAGCTTCAGAAATCGGGACCAAAAAACCTAAGGGTCGTCTGCTTGAAGAGCGCCCCGCATCTTCAAGTGCGCCTCTATTGCACGTCGTTGCTCCCAATCCTAGCACTCCGAATTCCTTCACAGGAACCTTCCACCGCAAATTCACTCCAATCCCCACAAATTACCCTAAGGCCCTAGTCCACTCCGAAAACCCCAGCCCCTCCTCTGTCAACACTTCAACTGCGTACACCCCAAACCCAAGACCCATACACCTCAGAGCCCACACGCCATAAACCCTCAACCCTCGACCCCAAACCCTAAACCCTAAATCCCAAACCCTATAAACCCTAAACCCATCCCCGAGGGTCTCGCCCATTGTGCCGCCAGCTCAGCTGCGCTGGAAGCGAGCGGTCGTTGTACACGCGATCAAAAGTCCCGGTGACCTCTCTGGCTTCTTGCGCTCTTAAGGCGGCTCGGGGTTTCGGGTTTAGGTTTTGGGGTTTATAGCCCTAAGGGTCCAAGGACGCAAATAATAGGGTTTTTGGGCCCAAGTACCATTACTAATACAGTATTTGGGCCCTAAACCTCTTTTATTTGGACCCTGAGGGTAAGGTTTAGGGCTGTTGGGGCCTAAGAGTTTTGCGGTTTAGGGTTTAGGGTCGGGGTTTCAGGGTCTAGGGGCCAGGTTGAAGGGGGTTTGGGGCTTCCACAGTTTGTTCACAAGGGTGGTCTCAGCGCATGGGGTTTTAGACGTTTTTGGGGGTCCCGATAATAGGGGGGCTGTAGTATAAAGGGGTCTATATGATTGGCCTCCCCGCCCATTTATGGGCACACTAGATATTTCCAAAGGTTTGGCGCTGTCAAGCGCATTGGCATATTGCTTTGAACCCTCGTGGGCTTCTGTGATTCTTATCTCCTTTCCCGGTGTGATGGGAGCTGGCCAGGGTGAGTTATCGGTCTTACGAGAGAATGCATCCAGATGTTCTTCTTGAGCCTTAGCCCGAATCCATGCAAATCCTGAACTTTCAGCCTCTCATTTTGGAGCATGCCCCAAAATTCTGAACCCATTGTCTATGTTGCAATTAATGGCTCAGTATGGACCCCAATATAATACAGTCCTTATAGGGCACCCCCAGAGGCCCCTAATCGGGCATGCTGAGTTCTAGTAAGAAGGGGCTCAGCTCTTATAACGAAAAGGAACTGGTTCTACCGCCTGCTGATTTCAGCGTGTTGCACATCCAGAACTAAGTCTAAGGGTCCAAGGACCCAAATTATAGGGTTTTAGGGCGCAATACCACTAATATTACAGTATCTGGGCCGTAAAACCCTATTATTTGGGTCCTTGGACCATGACGCCCAAAGCCGAAAAGCCTCGCTGCAGGCAATGATCACAAGTTGCCACTACTGCAAAGGCACATGTCCACCAAGCCCTGGAAGAGGCGCTACACGAGAAATCCGTGGAACAATCCTGTTGGTGAAGGACATCTTGCAACCACCCAGGATCTGTACTGTTGTCTGTTTGCACTTGCCCTAAGGGTCCAATGACCCAACTAATACGGCTTTAGGGCCCTAGTACCATTACTATTATAATAGTTGGGCCCTAAAGCCCTACATTTCGCTATATTTGGGTCCTTGAACCCTTCGGGTTAAGATGGTGCAGGCTTTCTTCCATCAACAATCGGAGAGGGCATCGCTTCATGTGGAAAGCTGGCCACAAATGAGGTCCTAAATCAAAATTTCCTCGAATAGGGATCCCCAGCCTCCCCGTTTGAAGTACAAACCTTTTAGCAAAATGTGGAGGCTCCCCAACACTGATACCCCCTATGCGTAGCAAACCTGCGAGTCCTAAACCCTAAGCCCTGCCTGGATCCCAAAAGAAAGTAAAATTATAGCCCAAAACCCCTACAACTTGCCCAGAAGGCTATCATTTACATACTTTTGGGGTTCAGGTCAACCCTAAATCATGAACCGAAGTTTCTGGTTGCTTGCCTCCTTCTCGTCCTCGTCGGGGAATGCCTGTGGCTCGCAGCTTGTTTTAGCCTGTACTTAGACTTCCCAAATATCAAGAAATACTATGCACCCATTATTTTGAGGTGAAAGGGTTAAACCCTAAACCCTAAGCTACATGTTTGGCAGGTCTAGGTAGGACTTTGACTTGAAGGGTGGGGCGTTCTCATTTCACGCAACCCTGCTTTACCTTGCTGGTGGTTAGTAGGGAATAAGGGAATATCATATGGGCCATAAGGGGATTATATATGTATATATATATATGGATTTTATTCCCGGAATCCCAACTAAGCACCAGCAAGGTACTGCTGCTGCAGGAGCCGAGGGGCCTCCCATCGTTCTGAGTCACTAAAACGGCTCCTATATCGGGGAAGGAACTGTCGCCATTGACAAGGACCTTGTGCAGGTCCATTTTTTTGAAAGGACTGGTTCCTACTTGACCGCAGAAGCGAGAATCGTTGATATGAGCCCGTTCAGAACGTAGGTGTTTTTGTCGAACATCCTGCGTGTGGGTAAGTAGTGGGAGTGAAGCCTAAACCCTTGATCCCAGGCGGCCTTAATTGAGGGCGGCTTTGGCTGATTGTTCTCATTGGTCCCGTCCTTCTTCTACTTCTCAACACACATGGTAACACAATGCTCTTGAAAACAATCCACTACGCTCAGGGTCCTGTAGGGCAAAATCTTGAAGGGAACCACATCATGGCCATGATCATGGGGGGCATGATCAAACAGGGTTCAAAGGTTGGGGAGTAATGAGGAATCATGTGGAAAATCAAAAGGAAAATGACATGCAAAGAGGGATGATATGGGGATTTAGATCGACACAAATAAGTTGGAAATGAACAGATCAGTGAAGACGCTACCGGCTGCATGGCCCTGATGGCTTTCGGTTTGCTCTTGCTACCCACAGTGCCCCTAGCTGAGCACCTAAACCTTAAACCCTAAACCCTAAACCTACTTTTTCTCTTGAGGGTGAAGCTGCTAGGGCAATTCTGCTGGCAAGGCATTGAATGGCCGCACAGGTATACAGTTTAATTCTCGTCGTCACAAATTGGCACCCCGAAGATCCCCTTAGTTGAAAACCCAACTGCCTTCGCTTGCCCTGAGAAGCACGGTTTGCTTTTTCTTGTCCATTCCTCCCTTCCCTAAACACTAATCAGTCACTAAATGTCAAAATCTGAATACTCAGTCCCTAAATGTCAAAGTCTGAACCCTTTTGCTCAACTGCGACTTTCGGCACACTGAGAATCAAGCAGACCAAAGCAAGGACTGGTTCAGGGACACAAATGTGATGGGTTTTGTACTATTTAGGGTTTAGGGTTTAGGGTTTAGGGTTAGCAGCCAAAACCCTGTTATTTTGCTGATTAGACCCTATAGGGTAGGATATTCGTTTGTAAAGAGCTACCTATCAAAGCCGACATGGGGTTTCCGGAAATTGGGAATCCCCTGTTGGGGGGTTCCTATAATATGGGTTATTGCATATAGAGATCTATATTATTTAAGTGCCCCGTGTTTCTGGAAACTACAACATTCCACAGGCGGACACGAAAGCCCAAAACCCAGCGCAAAGCTCATCTTGAAAGCCCTGACCTGGACCTCCAAAGAAGTAAAACAAAGTGGCCCAAACACAGACAATGGCCAAAAGACAATTATTCTACATGTTTTTTGGGGGGGGGTCCACGTGGGTACAGATCTGCCGAAATTCCAGCGGCATCTATCATGCCGACTCGCAAGGACGATGTAGCTACAGCACGTTCCTGACTTAAATGCTTTCCTAGGCCGCCGCCCATATCGTTCCCAAAAACCTCCATATCTCGGGGTCCTACAACCTGAAAGCTTTTGAGGGCCCAGCTCTAAGCCCCTGAGCCAGAACATACTGAATCATGTCTGGGCCTGCTCTTTGGCAGAGAACTGTGGATCGCGTTGCCTGATGAGGTGTATTTCGTTCCCGTTGCGAGGAACTTAAATTTGTACAGACGGAATCGAAGAGTTTCCCTCATCGTAGCTCGAGTTCCCAAACAGCAAATCACCCTAAGGGTGGAAGTAACCAATAATCATATACTTNNTACTTACCCAAAACCTGTACTGTATGTACTGTATGTCTGTACTGTACGTACTGTTCCCCAAACCTCAAGTACCAAGTTACTGGGTACTTCGACCCGTAGGGTGACTTTCAGGTCTGATGCAGGTGGAGGGCTTCGGGCTTCTAATTTTGTAAGCTTACAAGAAAGGGGTCTTTCACTCAGCCAAAAGGCTTATCGTGCGTGATTATGCGGTGTATGCAATGGCAAAAACGCTCAATCAAGCCCCAAACGCGCATAAACATGTGTCATGTTCCTAGTTACTTGTTGGTTTCCACGTCACGTTCCGTCTGAGCCTGCATTGTTATCATTATGGCAACTGAATTTAAAATCTTACCCAATAACTTTTGCGAAGCCAGCAGGGTCAGAGCGTGCTCTCTACTTTGCGGGACCCTTGGGTTAACCAAGGGACCAAGGGGCTAGGGAATCTACTTATAAGTGGTTACAAGCGGGTTACAATGGGTCATTCGGTGGCATGGGGATGTCCAAAAAATGAGGGGCCTCTTCAGGGGGAGGGTTACGTACCTATAACAAGGATCATAATACATCGGGATGCATCCCTGGGGCTACATGCAAGTTAAGTTAAAAAAAAAAAAAAAAAAAAAAAAAAAAAAAAAAAAAA